TGAATAGAAACAATTGTTATCTTATTTTAACCTTTTCTACTAGGTACCCGATTTTGAATCATCTGCAGGTTGAATGTGCACTTGTGTTTTATGATTTTCAATACTTTTTATTAAAGTGGAAAGAATTCAAGTTTTTTTATTTTCAATTTAAAATTTAAACTGTTTTTCCCCAGTTTTCCCTTGATTATAGAAAAAGTTTTGGTTTTCGTTCATAACTTTCTGGACTATTAATGTTTTCAAATAAACAATAAAATGCAGAAAAATCCATGCGCATCCAACCCCTTCAAAAATTGAAGTTTGGTTGGATAGAATGAATTTTTGAGGGTAAAACTCAGAAAATGTAATTGCTGCCTGACCTCACAAGCAAATTGCTATATGAGGGGTTTGCATGGGATTGATATTTTTGCGCTGATGGGGCCCTGGGGGTGTCAATTCTATCTGGCACTCTATTCAAGCTGCACTTCACTGTTGAAAATGAACTTGCATGTTCAAAATGTGCAATCCATAGTTTTGAAATTGAAATTCTGTTTTCTACAACTTTTCCAGCAGACTCCATCCATTTAAGCTTCATTGCGCACTTTCTGGAGGGAAATGGTCCCTTGAAAAAATTATGAAAACCCGTTTTCGCATGCTTTTTTCATTGGCAGTATAATCCCTTCAGACCAAAAGGTATTGAAATCTATTTTCAATTTTTTTGATTAAAAAATGTCTAGATGAATTCAGGTTTTGTGTACTGTATATGTGTCGTATTTTAGCCGCATTATTCGCATGATTTTCGGTTGCAAAATCTTTTGCTCAACACTGAGCTTTTTATCTTCAACTCTGAACGTGTATTTGGAACTGCTCTTTTATAGAAGACTACCGTGAACAGAATTTTCTGCAATAAGCAATACTTTGCCTCCATTTTTCTAAGTACAGTATTTCCACAAGAGTAAATTTTTGGTGAAGTACAAAGAAATTACAATTTGAAGAACCGCAGATGTAATTTCTTCCTATTACACTATATATCGAAATGGAACTGTGTAATATGATGATCCCCAGACACATGATGAATTTCTTCCAAATATTTTTCTGGCTTGGATTGTCGAGAAAATTTTAGCAAAAAGTCGGCCTTTGTTCATGAATAATAATTTAAGTACAACCGAGTTTTCGAGTTCAGACATTCTTGTCTATCGGATAATCAAACACTTTTCTTTTTGATTGAAGCAATTTTTTCTGAAATTTTGCAGTGAAGAACTTCGAAATAAATAACTCAAGGATAAGGGCTCAAGTTTTTCTAGTTTAGATTGAATGAATGCAAGATAAGCTCTTTCTTGGGCTCAAGTTCACTGTTGCAAGGGTGATGTAAAAAAACACGCGCAGGCAGTATACTGAAACCCACTCGTTGTCAGGAAATGATCAAAAGACAACTCTGCAGGAAACCTTTGGAAATAATTGTCGACATACCGATATAACCAATCGTTCAAAATTATCAAGGATTCAGCATTAACGTGTAGAAAAGCTGAATTGCATTTCGCCCGATATTGCACGCACATCAAAACTTTCCTCAGTTCCGCCTTTTTTCAAAATTCCCAAAAAGGAATACGTTTTTACTTCAAGATTTCGCAATGACTTCTCGCTTCCGCTCTCGAGATTCCAAAACGCCGTAACAAACCATACCGAGCGTGAGAATGAACACGAGTGCGTACAACTTTATACGGACGCACAAATGCTTGCTGAAAAAATACGCGATGATGAACCCAAGACTCTCGAACACTTTGTACGCACTAAATGCTGCTTCCACGTTTTCATGAAAAAGCAATCCGTGGAGCCCTGCAATGAAGGTAATCTAATTCAGTGACTAGGATAAATTATGACACGACAATAAAATACAACGAAAATGAACGCTTGACTATATGAAGTGATATGAACCATACTAATACAGTACAGTATTTGGAAAGCTTCGATGGATTTTTAAACGGCAACATTTCAAAGCTTGTGAACTTCAGGGTAAGAGAGCTTACTTCGGGCTCGGCAAAGAAAGCCAGTTAAACTCCTCTTGAGTGAGCAAATAATTCATCGATGCTTCCTGCATTTGCTAAATACTATAGCTATCAAAAATACAGCCTGCAGAAAGAATCCGCTGAACGTCAAAATATTTGAACTTATGATTCATATACTCAAGCATGTATCGGACTTCTCTGAAATCGAAGCGACCAAGAAAGAATTTGACTTCGAGAGGTTTCAACAATAAGTTGGGCAGATTTGGTAATTAGGACTCGAAACAAATTTGAGTTATGGAGGTTTCGAAATAAAGAGGACTGCTGTACGGATTATTGAACGCGAGATCTCACCATTGATCTGTGTCTGCCACACAGAATCAGCGAGCATGTAAGCTCCTGACATGATGAACAGTACGTAGTGTTCGTCCATGGTGGGTTCCCAAATCAGAAGATACGCCAGTGTCGCAACATTCAACAAAAATGCAGCAAGGAACACCGGGATTCTACCCGTGTATTCCACGATCAATCCGGAAAACCCGGACCCGAAAGCATTCATCGCTTTCCCGACCATGAACACGTATCCAATATTTTCGATCCCCCAAGTGCATCCCACGTAAGCCTGGAAATCATGAACATCCTTCAGTTAAAATTGTTTCGCCCCATTCTTCACTTATCAATCAACCCTGGTGAAATCCACTTCGAAAAAGCCTTGCTCCAGCCCTCCATAGAATACGAGAACCAAGATCAACGCCTGGTTTACGTTTCTGAGCTGTGTGAACGTAGCGAACAGGAGCTGGAGATCACAACTTCGTTTCCGTTCGGCAACTTGCTGGAATCTATACTACGCACACATCCTAATCAGAACAATTCAGAAAATACAGCTCGATGTTCACACTTTACCGTGATAGTGGATCCAGGAGGAGGGCGATGAAAATACCAGAGGAGAACGCGGTTGTTGCGAATAACCCGGATAGGAGATGAATTTTCCATTCAACAGGTCTCCTCAAAGTTTCCACTTCACCGATCAAGTCATCGCAGAAATTTTTCCCACAAAAACTAACGTCGGTTGAATTTCTCTCGGTTACGCCGTATGAAAGGACTGGAGGAGAGAATGTCCAGGATGACAAAGATTATTCGAGGCTACAGGAAATCCAAAATGGAGGAAGGATAACCCTTTGTCCAAAAAGAAAACCCTCTCCTTCAGAGCAAAAAATGCAGGAGCAATTATGATATCCTACCCTAC